CCGAATGAGAATATGACATCAAATTCTTCTGAAAATCAAGAATCTATTAATAACGTGATTAATTAATATTGTCGATAAGAAATATTAACTCGTATTTATCGTGTATTAACAGCTTTTATTTTTGTGTGACCCATTTTCGAATATAAATTTATAACAATGATCAATTTTTAAGCAAGATAAATTAATATAAATTATTAATGTTAATCTTATCAAATAAATATTTCTATTTTTAATTTCACATTTGGTTTTTAATGACATTTAAATTTAATTTCAATATATCGCTTCAAATATTTGAACGTAAGATACGTGATAATAAAAAGTACAAACGAGATTCAAGAATATCTATCAATTTTATTAATTTGGCTGAAATTAATTAGTTATAAAAAGCTAATAAATTATAGAATTAATAAGCATTGAATTGTTAATATAACGAAGCTAATAAGTATAAATTGTCAATAAAAATATTTAATGATGAAAATAATTCAGATACATTCAGATCTTATGGTCAATCAATACATGAAGAGTGTTCATGAATGAAATGTATACTATATCTATACTATAATTTTATCCCTAATTTTTTTATTAATTTTTTTTATCTTTTTTATTAGAAAAACAAACGATTTTATTGTTTATGTATATGTTTTTATTTCTAATAAAAACATATTACCTTCCTAATGGATAAGATTACTTTTCTTGATTTTTAGATTTTTAATTTTGTTACAATATAAATTTATATTATTAGATATCGATATGAATTATGATTTTTAAAATATATGATTTTTCTTTAAATTTAATAGAATACTTTTTATTGTATGAATATTTTTTTTTTTTCAAAAAAGCTATTAGAATTGCTAAACGCATGAAAATCCAAAGAATATTCGCTAACAATTCAAAAGATATCGGCAATTAATCTGAAATATTTAATCATGCCATTACCAATGTTAGAACCATTTCTAGGACATCTATGATATTACTTGATCTACTGAACAAAATTTTAAGAATTAAAATAAAAACCATCACATATTCTGCATATTTTGCATATTGTTATCTTAAAAACTATAAATATTTCAATCTTCTATTAATACGTTATAATATATTCAAAAAAAGTAGAGAGTATTTGCGGTTAGCAAAATCTTAAAAATCCTTTGAAAAAAATTACAGATTTAAAAATAAACATATTGACCAAAAAACACACATACACCACAAATGAAACCATGACACCATATCATTGAACAAAAGAAAGGAAATGTTCCTCCTGTCCCTCTCACGAATAGGATATGTAGAAAAATATAAAATTTTTATATAAAAATGAAAAGTATAATATATATTAATATAATTAATTTTTAATTCCCACTATGATCAATATAATGTTTATTGAAAATTTTTTTGTATGTATACGTGCTATTACTGTTAAAATACAAAATTAATCAAATCTTGACCTATATTTTCTACGACTCGATACTTAATTTTTGAAAAAATAATTCTTTTATGAATTCATAGTAATGAACATTTTTCTTTCTTTTAAGGATTTCAACTATTATTTTTTTTTTTCTATTTCCTTTCATAATAAATAAAAGTTTTAATTTTTCCCTTTGTATTTTATTACATATCAAATCGATTTAACATTTCCATTATATTCGTAAATATTATAGAATTTTACGTCTCAAAAACTATAGCATTTTTTAAAAAAATTTGTTTTACGACTAATATATCTAAAATCATTTCGAAAATAAAATCAAAAAAAAATAAATAAATAAAATGAAATAAAATCAATCAAAATTTTGAAAATACTTTCACAAGTTATATAATTATTATAATCATAACTATAAATAGATATTATATATTTATTTATAAGCATATAATATAAATAATAATATCTGATTAATAGTGAATGAAAACAACAGTGAATGAGAATTCGTTTCATCATTGACGAAACAAAAAATCAAACGATGATACCAAGATGATCGGACATTCGGCTTATCTTGCCTAAAAATATAACCATATGGCTGGTTTCGAAAAGAGAAATATATGGAATATATAAATAGTTTCATACACTGGGAAACCAGATCTTGCGAGAAAAAAATAGCGGAGATAAAAATAAATCGAGGATAATTTTAAAGCTTAAATAATAGTTCTGTGCGCGAATTTGAAAAAAAACCTTGACGCGTTCTTCGGTCTGTAGTCCAGGATAGCGATAGAATCGATCGAAACAATTGCCTTCTTATATTAAGTTGACCTCTTATATTAAGATAGAAAATAGGCCTCTAGGGTCATTGAAATTATTAACATATATTAGTGATACATCAAATTAATTTTTTGAGATTTTATTTCTTTATTATAAATTAGGTATATTATAAATTATATATTATAAATAAATAAATTAGAAAACAAGATTTCATGATATATAATATGATTTCGATATTAAATTAAATTATAAATAAATAAAATTAATTTGTATATGAACAATAAAGAATGAGAAAATAATTAATAGAAAATGTATATTTTTTTTATATATATATATATTTTTTATATAGAGTGTTTTTATATACGAATTTGGCTGCTAGCAAATAAAAATAAAAAAATCTTAAGCTATTAAAAAGTTATTAAATAAAAATGTTTACATGAGATGATTTTAATCATTTGATATATATTAGTTAAAAAAAAATTACGCTTAAACGAGCATTTCTTGCATTTTTCCAATGTTTATTATTATTAATCCATATTATAACTCTAACTGAAATTTATTCAATAATAAATGATAAGAACAAAATATTTTGCTTTTTTTTTTTTTTTTTTACTAAAATTGAATTTTCATTGCTCAATGAAATTTTTAATTTCTAATTGTAGAATTAAAAATACATTTATTATTCAAAAAAAATGAATAAAATATTTAATGAGGGATAAAAATAATTTTTTAATTGATCGTTCAATTCTATTATTTCTAAATTTTGCATTTAATATGCTATTCATATGTATGATTCGTATGTAATTCGTATATATATGTTTAACAAATGATTTCATTATAAGATTTTTAAATTGCTATTTCAAGAAAAAATATTAAAAAAATGACAAATTTTCTTGATTGAATTACATG